CTGTCCTGCCTAGGACATGAAATATCCCTTTGTCCAGCATATTCATGCTGTATATGCTTCTCACCCATTAGTCGTTAGTAGCCATTTTGGTTATCACACCAGAAGATCAAGAGTAACCTTATACTACATTGCAATGCCTACATCACTCACCTCACTGCATCTCATCACTTAGGCACTGTATCATCTCACATCATCTCAAGAGTGTACATCACAAGATAATTTGAGAGAGACCACATTCACATAACTTTTATTATAGTATGTTATAGTAATTGTTCTATATGTTAGTATTGTTGTTAATCTCTGTGCTAATTTATAAATTAAATTTTACCAGTTATGTACATATAGGAAAAAACACAGTATACATAGAGTTCAGTACTAGCTGTGGTATCAGGCATCCACTGGGGTCCTGTAACATATGCCTACTGTATTAAGAATAAGAGGAGGAGAAAATGAAAAAGCATTTGATAAAATCCAACACCCATTTATAACAAACTAGGAATAAAGAGAAGTTTCTATTCTTGAAAAAGAACATGTACATGAAACTTGTCTGGAACATCATACTGAATGTTGAAAAACTAGATGCTTTTTTGGTAAGATAAGGAACAGGGTAAGAAGTCTCCTCTCACCATTCCTATTCAACACTGTACTAGTAAACCCAGTTAATGCAATAAGGCAAGAAAAAGAAGTAAAAGGTATACAGATTGAGAAGCAAGATATAAAACTTTTTTGCATATGACATAATTTTTTATGTAAACACCTGAAAGAATCCACAACAGAGATCACTCTGGAAATTCATAAGAGTATATCATAGCAAGGTTGAAGGATACATAATTCAATTTTTTTCCTATAGACCCATACAAATACAGTCAACTGATCTGTGACAAGGGTCTAAAAGGCAATTCAATGGAGAAAAGAATCTTTTAAACAGTGCTGGAAATAGTGGTTATCTACACACAAAAACAAAACAATGAATCTAGATACAGACCTCACATCTTTCACAACTGAAAGCAGATCATAGATCTAAATGTAAAATGTGACAATTAAAATCTAGAAAATACAGAAGAAAATAAAAGTGACCGTGAGTTAACTGACAAATTTTAAGATACACCACCAAAAGTAAGATAGTAAGTGTCGCTGCATTAAAATGAAATTCCCATTCTACAAAAGACAGTGGTAAGAGAATGAAAAGATGGGCACAGGCTGGGAACAAAATCTTTGCAGAACACTTATCTGGTAAAGGACTGGTATCCAAAATGTCCGAAGAACTTTTAAAATTCAACAATACGACAGATAATCCAATTAAAAATGGGCAAAAGATCTGAACACATATCACTAAAGAAGATATACAGATAGCAAATAAGCATATGAAAAATAGGTCAACATCAAAGGTCATCAGGGAATTGCAACAATGGCTATCACTAGACACTGATAAAAAATAAATAAATAAAATTCAAAAGACTCAGAATACCAAATATGGTGAAGAAATAAAGCTACAAGAATCTGCATTTCATTGCTGGTGGGAATGGAAAATAGTATGCCTACTTTAGAAGACAGGCAATTTCTTACAAAACTAAACATACTCTTACTAGGCTGTAGCAATCATACTTCTTGGTATTTACCCAAATGAGCTGAAAACTTATATTCACACAGAAACATGCAAATAAGTATTTATAGGTATTTTATTCATAACTGTCAAGACTTAAGAGTTAAGCAAGATACCCTTCAATAGTAGAATAAATAACCAACATGTGGTATATCCATATGATGATATATTGTACAGAGATGAAAAAAATGAGGTATCAAGCCATGAAAAGGCAAGAAAACTTAAAAGTATACTGTTAAGTGAAAGAAGACACTGACAAGGCTATATACTGTGTGATTCTAAGTATGTGATAATCTGGAAGAGATAAAACTATAAGCCAATAAAAAGATCTTTGCTTGCGAAGGATTTGGGCACTGGAGGGAGAGATGAATGGACAGGTGGAACACAGGGTATTTTGAAGGATGTGAAACTATTCTATAGAATATAGAAATGATGGTCATACGTCAACATACCTTTGCCAAAACCCACATATTTTATTACTCAGAATTAAAGCTAATATAAACAATGAACTTTAATGCACCAATATTGGGCCATCATTGTAACAAACACACTACAGTAGTACTAGATGAAAAAAACGGTGCAAACTGTGTGGATGCAAAGGGTCAACTGGAAACTGTACTTTTGATCAATTTTTCTGTAAACCTAAAATGGTCTGAAAAAAATGAAGTCTCATTGCTTCACATCTTAAAAAACTAGACTTAAAAAAATTAGTATCTAGTGAATATTTTAATCCTCTGCATGCATTTAAGAGAAACAGAAATTTTTATATACACCATATTTTACTATTTAATAGTTTGTTTTTAATTAACTTTTGCTACTTTAAATTTAATTTTAAATTAAACTTTTCTATTTAGAAAATCATTCTAAGACTTAATCTTTAAATACTAATGAGTATAAAACTGCAAACCATAAACAAAAATTTTCAAATCTCTAAAAGGACAAGAGACATAGTTTATCCCTCCACTTCATTTCACATTGAAGATATTGTCAGAAGTGAGTAGTTTAGGGGTTTGCATTTAATCTCTGAAACCAACTCAGAGTTTCAAAGATTTACATAAGGTCAAGCTGTTTTCCTCCTATCAATTAAAATAGAAATTCAATAGCTTTTTTCTCTCATCAAATAAAATATAAATTTGTCTTAAGAATAGTATAGCCTTGTCTATAGCCTTGTCTATAGCCTTGTCTACAGCCATGCTACCCTGAACAAACCCAATCCCGTCTGACCTTGGAAGCTAATCAGGGTTGGGCCTGGTTAGTACTTGGATGGGAGACCACCTAAGAAGACCAGATGCAGTAGGTGTAAAAAAAAAAAAATAAGGGATTGTAAACTGACAAGGTCCTTGCAATCTGGGAGGTCAAGCAAGGGTTTGCCTCGCCTAAAAAAAAAAAAAAAAAAGAATAATATAGCCTTTTAAATATCAAAGTTCTCTAGGAACATGCACATAAAAAAACTAATTGAAACTAAAAAATGTGCCTGAGAACTTAAATATACCCATCTGAGAGCTAGAGATTCTGCTGCCTGAAATGGAACAAAAATCCTGTTTGGTTCCAGGAATTTCTTGCCTTACACATTTATTTCTCAATCAATTTACATTTTCAAAGCCCAAGAAATAAAAAATCTTCCACAGGAAATAAAATTGTGAACTGCTAAAAAAGCCTGCAGTTAAATGATTGATATATTCAGTAAAGATACCTAAAGGAAAGAAATATAAAATCAGCTAAGATAAGCAGTCTGCTTACCCACAGTTAAGAAAAACTAACATTCAGAAAGTTGAATACATTTCCAGGCTTGGGTTGCAGGCACACCCCAGTTGAGACAGAACCCCTAAATCAGATCAGTCCTTTGGGAAGGAGGAGAGGGACACCTGAGCAGTCCCAGGAATTAAACTCTCTCCTCTCCTCCCCCAGGCTTCCATTCTCACAAGTGAGGAACCTCTCGGCCTAATTCAGTTTAAGTTCTGACCCAAATGAACTCCAAAATCCACAAACCTTTTGTCCAGGAGACAGGACTCCTGGTGTTCACAGTCGTTCTCAATGTGCACAAATTATACTGAGTGCACCTATATCTCGAATGCAAATGTAAAAAACATCTAGGCCTAAGAAAACCCCCTTTGCCAGCTCAGAGTGGAACTTACTTTGGAGTCACTGGCCTCAGGCCTCTGATTCCCAGTCACAATGCTTTGGACCATCACAGATAATTTAAATGACATAAACCAATGTTTCAATAATCCAGCAAAATCACTTAAACCCAGTGTTCATGTGTAATGAAATAAGAAACTGTAGGGGACTTTTCCTAGTTCATCAAGCCCCGATATGCCATTTCAAATCACGCAAAGGAAAAGAACAGACCTCACAATATTATTACTCCCCCCCCACTTTGGGGGAAAAAAAAGAGAAACAAAAATTTTAAGTAATGTATGTAATAATGAAATATTTTATTTGGAAATTCACCTCTTCTCACCACTTTGGAAATACGTCATACTGTTTCCCAAACTCTAGTGATTAAATAAATTTTAAATGTATTGAAAAACCAAATTTCAAGTGAAAAAATCTTTTCAAAGTGACAAACATAGGGAGGGGCAGAACTGACCTGGAACTATGCTGAAAGGACCTATCACCCAGGAAAGTTTCCCAAGGGGAACATCCATCCAACGGACTTCCCTGAGGATGTCTGTTCCTATAGGAAAGATAAGATCCTGGGGGGAGAGGAACAGGGATATCATACAACATATTCCAGGTGGTTGTCTCTTGCTTTCCTCTCAGGTAAAATATCCACAAGAATAAATCTTTGAAAAGCGTCATCCATGGCTCAGTGGATAAATGATAAACGATTAAATGATGGATAAATGATAAACGATTGCTGCGTCTGTTGGAAATACACCACGGAGAACAAACAGTTAATGCTGCTGCTAAGAACTGGAGTGGGGAAGATGGCGCCTAGGAATGCGGAATGCGGGGAAAGATCTGGAAATTTAGGTATTTACTGCCAGCCTCAGGAAGGGCTAGGCGGGGGGAGCAGGGTCGTGGATTTGAGGCCCTGCTTCCCAAACATTTGAAAAGTAAGGGGAAGACGAGTGCCCTAAGGAGAAAGGAGGACTTGGGATTCCACAGACCACAGCTGCTCCCACGCACGAACCCTGGATCCCGCGTCCGGATAACCCTTCTCATGGTGACCGCACAATCTGAGGGAGACGCGGCCGCGCGCGGTGACGGCCGCCGTGGCACGGCAGAGGGCCTGCAGGTCCCGGCTGCCAGAAGGCTGCGTGCGAGAGGGGGCTGAGGTCCGAGCGGACTCGGGTCTGCAGACTAGATAGTGGCCTCTGTGAGGTCGGTGCCCGCCTCGGCTGGTTCCAACCAGCTCCTGTCCCCGCCTGGACACCCGTCTCCGCATACTTACCATTTCTCGGTTTCTGGAGTTCCCTGCCATCCACCCTACGACTCCAGCGGCAAGTGCAAGTCACAATGCTAGATGACGTGCTGCAGCCACCTGAGGCCTTTGATGGCAGCAAGAGAGCAGAACGTGGCAAGAGGTAAAAGATACTAGCACGCAGTCCACGCCAGCACACCGTTATCGCAGAACCGCCCCCACATTCGTTACCGATGAACCTCCTGATTGGACAGTTCTCAAGGCTCCGCCCCATCCTGCCTGAGTGACAGCAGGACGGAGATTTCGTCTTTGAGCTGTTGTCTTGGCAGTGGGCCAAAATCTGCCCTCTCCAAGGACGCTGCGTTTAACCATAAGGCCGCCAGGCCACTCACGAAACTGTGACCTTCAGAAACATGGACACTTAAAAGTGACCTTAACATGCACATAATGATGAGTTTGGCTCCATTCTGATCTCTGACCCGGTTCCAGCGGGGAAACGTTGCCCTTCCCCCCAGTCAGCGGGTACTTTAAAGAATCCTGTGGTCTCAGGGGCACTTGGCTGTGGTGGGAACTTTGAACCTCACAGACCTAGTCTAGGCCCAACGCCAAAGGTACCAGCATGTGTGAAACATGAAGCAAAGTAATCACTGGAAAACCTTTTCGAAGAACCCCATTAATATCCATTCAGTGAAAGGTCAAAGGAGGCAAAACTGAAAGAACACTGTTTATCGAAAAATAACAGATGGCAAAGGTATAAAGAATAGTCAGGATAGTAGTCATCTATGGGGCAGGATAGAGATAAGTCAAGGTCCGGAACATCAGGACAAGCTGGCTACTGCCCACTGGCCATTTATGAATCTTGATGATGATTCCAAGGGTGTTTATATTGTCACTACAAAATTGTACAATAACACTTTGTATATTATTTTCTGAATACATTTGATGATAAAAATGTTAAGAAGAAATTCATTTTTTAAAACAATATAATGTATATGTTTGCCCTGTAAAGTGGCGATCACAGTTTTGGCAGCAAAAATTGGTAGCAAGCCATGCATCTATTTAGAAAGAATGGGTTATATAAAACTCATCATCACATGTGCCTTTTAAGAACAAAGGGTGATATCTACTGATATGTAAAGTTCTATTTATCGATACAACAATTGAAATATATTGAAATATATATATACACACCATGTTATCTCTTCTATAACTGTTTCATGGTCACCTGCAGAGTCAGATGGGCCCCCACCCTAGGTTTAGTGGACAGCACATTCCTGCCAGAAACATATGAAAGAATTTATGACTCCCATAACTGAGGTGTCTGGGGAGAACAGTGCAGGTCTCTCAAGCGGGTGAGAAATGCCTTGCTAGAGCAAGGCAAGGAGCCTGGCCTGGGTTTTTATTGAGGTTAGGGGGTGGGCACACAAGGGGAGGGGCTTCCAGGGATTTAATCTCTTGCCAGTGCCAAAGGAGTGAGCACTCAGACTTTATCATCACCTTGCACAGATGTGGGGCACAAGGGGAAGGAGGGCTAAGCTGTTAATCATTAGAAAATGGAATCAGAGACCTCTGGTTTCTCCTCTGGCATGTAAGGAGCTTAAAATGTGACATTCCTATCCCCACCAGAAAAAAACTAACAAACTTAAAATTAACAACTCAGCTCTATCAAAGTATTAATTACAGGGCAAACTGCTGTCTACCAAAATTGGAAAGGGAGACAGAAAAATAGCCATTTTGAAATATGCCCACAATTTTTTGTTCTTCTTAACAAGACCTGTCCTCAAAGATTGTTCCAGCAGAGCCGAACTGACTGGGCTTTTACCAGCACCAAATTGACATGAGGGAGGGAAATAGGCAACTTGAGTCCTCTCTAGCCATTCCAGACTCTCCAAGCTGAGACAGAACCCCTGTAGTGGGTCAGTCCCAGGGGAAGGAAGGGAGGGGCACCTGAGCCGCCCTAGGACTGAAGTCTGGGACCCAGCACCCTCCTCTCCCCAGGGAATAATGGAAATGCTCCCTCTCTCTGGCTTCACTTCACAATGAGGAAACGCTCAGCTGGATTCAGTATAAGGTTCTGACCCAAATGAACTCCCAATTCACAAACTCTAACCCAAGACACAGACTCCTGTCTTTCACTGACTTTCTCAATGTGCACAAATTAGAGTATGAGGTCAACTGCACCATGTATGAATAGCTCAAACATAAGGTCTAAAAATGTCAAGGCCTAAGAAGCCACAGCCTCAGAAGGTGTGTCACCGCCTGCTCCTCCATATGCAAGTGCACCCCTCATCTTTCCAGGGCCGTAACTTCTCCTTCCATGCTGGGTGTGAACAGGAAGGACACCTGCAGGGAGAGTCTCCCCAGGGAGAACCACTGGGCCTTCAAGTGCTTCCCTTCGCATGTCAAGAAGTGGGTGCTTAGCTCAGTTATACTGACCTCAGGCTCTGCATCCCACTGGAGTGTCTCTGAACCACCACTGATATTTTAAATACACAAATCCAGTGTTTGAACAATCCAGCAAGATCACTCAAACCCAATGAGTAAAGGAGGGAAGAATACTGTAAGGTATTTGGCTAGCTTAACAAGAAAATCCACAAGTATCTACTGCTTTCAGAAAATAATGATGTTAATTATTATTTCCATGGCAAGAAATTGTTCTGTAAACAACTGATTACACTTAAACACTCTGCTGTTAAAATTTCATCTGAAATCACCTCCAAATCATTTCTGAAATTTACCTCTTTCATGACTCTTTGGAAGTATTTTATACTATCTTTAAGATCGATTGATTAAATGCATTTTACATTTATTATAAAATAAATTTTTATAAAAGGTGAGTGAATCTTTTCCAGGTGACAAAGTCAGGGAGGGACAGTGCTGACAGGAGAGAACACCCAGGAAAATTTCCAAAGAGGAGCCTCCACCCAAAGGACTTCCCACAGGACGTCTGTGCCCGGGCTAGTTCCTGGCGGAGAAGAACGGGGATTTTATACAACATCCTTCAGCTGGTTATTCTCGCCTTTCCTCTCATGTAAAATATCCGCAAACAAAAAATTAAATCTTTAAAAATGATCCATTCACTGACTGGGGGAAAATGATAATTAAACACAATATGTCTGTTTGAAAGGACCCCCAGAGACCAAGTCATGACCGTTCCCTAATGACCCTACCCGTGGTCACCACACCATCTGGGGAGACTTGGGGCTGCGGACGAAGAGCTGTCCAGAGAGGCTCCGGGGCTGAAGTCGCCGCGCGCAGCGACGGGACAGGTCGCCCGGGGACCAGGCTGCAGGCTCAGCCCCCATGCTGTGTGCTGGAGGAGCCCGAGGTCCCAGTGGAGCTCCGAACAGACACGGTGGGCAGACTCAGAAGGTGACAGCGGGAGGCCGGGTCCCACCACAGCTGGCTCCAACCAGCCCCTCATCCTCGTCTCGGAACCCGGTCCCGCACACTCACCATTTCCCGGGTCCTGGAGTCTCCTAGCATCGTCCCTGCAGCTCCCGCGGCCGCTGCAGGTCATAGCGGGACTGAAGCTGTAGCAGAGACACCTGGACCGTTGACCATTAGCCGCAGGTGAGACGCGATCTCAAGAGCTGCCAGGAGCGTCCACGCGGTTTGCAGTGCGTCGCCCCACCCGTCTGTACTGCTGTGCCCCTGGCTGGACAGTTAGCAAGGACCCGACTCCTTCATTCCTGGGCGATGATGGGAGGAATTTACTGGTTAGATGGCTGAGCAGAACCAATTTCCGCCTTTGGTCGTCAACACCTCTCCTTCAGGGACGTTGGCTTTTAATCAAAACTTGTTCCTGGCCCTAATGGGACAGTGGCCTTCTTCCTGTAGCTCTTTCTGAATGCAAGAACACAGGTGTGTGCAAGGAATTCTAGAGTCAGTTTCCGGAGAGAGGGTCGCCCTCTTTCTGTACAAGAGGGAATCCCAGGCCACACCAGACTGGGACCAGAGGGTCAGAGATCCTGCCTGGGTCCAGGGTCGGCACAGGCTACAAGCCACGCATAGAACTATTACCCCTATTTAAGAACACACTTAAAAATTACCTCACCACATAGGATCCCACTGGATCCATTTTGTGTTTTTCACTGTCCTCAGTGTTGAGGGTTCCACCCATTCCTTCTCCACCTCCATAGTGCAGTACTTTTGTTGCAGGATTCTCCAGAGGAGAGACAGCACCGGAAAGCTATAAGCAGGAAACAGCATTTATTGATGCCGAAACAGCTCAGCGGATTCTTATGCAAAGGCTGAGCCCTGATTGTAACATAACAGGCAGTTTTATACAATCTCTTTATTCCTACACAGCTACAGATATAAGGAAGAACATTAATTGGTTGGCAAGCTGTGAAACAACTGATGTTAGCTGGAGAGTCCTTGAGGTGGGGGAAGGGAAGTGAAGAACGAACTCATCGGAGCAGGAAATAGCCAGGCAGGGTCAGGCTGACACACTTTAACGGAAGAATCCTATGGTTGTCCAATGCTTTGTCTCTGTTTGGAAGTTGGAACCTGGAAGCCCTCACCTGAACACAGAGACTCTTTTCCAACCAACTGTGAGCTATTAGACATGTTCCGTAAAACTCTCAGGTGCATATTTTACACTACAAGAAAATTTATGTTAGTTTGAGTGTGTGCCTAGAGATTTTATAAAAGGCTATGATATCCCTGAGGCAACTGAATTCCTGTTTTCACCAATATTAGAAAAAACAAAAAGTTATGTAAATATGAGATGTATTCAAAAACTCAATATACTTAACACATTGGTTGAAAACTCTTAATGTGGCAGCCTGACCCTGCCTGGCCATTTCCTGCTGGAACAAGTTCCTTCCTGACTACCCTCACCCCCTTCCAAGGACTCTCCGCTGACGTCGGTTTTCTCATAGCTTGCCAACCAATCAGTGTTCTTCCTTATATCTGTAGTTGTGTAGGAATGACAAGACTGTATAAAACTGCCAGTTATGTTACTATCCGGGCTCAGCCTTTGCATAAGAATCTGCTGAGCTGGTGCTGGCATCAATAAACGCTGCTTCCTGCTTATAGCCTCGGTGTCCGGTCTCTCTGTTCGACAATCCCACACCACCAATGCATTTATTTATTTGAATAGCTTTATTGATATAGAATGCGTGCGCCATACCATGAACTCCTTTAATGTATATATCTCATTCTTTTCTGTATATTCACAAATACATAATCATAACCACAATTTAAG